CATGTAAATAATGTATATAATATATGTTCACCAGGTGCCAGTTTTCATAACAATATTTTTGACTTAAATAATTTTATTAAATCTAGTTTTAAGGTGACAAAAAATACTTTGTATTTGCCACTATATTATAAGAAACTAATTGCTACTCTAGTAGCATATAATATACAAAACCCAGTTGTACATAGTACAACTAAGAATATTTTATTATGTAATAATCTTTCAGCAAACTATGTTAGTTTAAACTAAACATTGAGACAACGCCTAGGCCACTCAAATTAAATATTGTGCATCAAAATATACAAGGCTTAGGCGGCAAAGAACCCGAAATTGAATTGTTCCTTAGGAAATTTAATATACATGTCATCTGCTTCACAGAGACATGGTTACATAAGCACTGTAATGTTGTTAATATAGAAAATTATAAATTGTTAAATTCGTTCGTAAGAGTAAATGCTATTCGCGGTGGCTCTCTTGTATTAGTTAGAACTGATATAGTCTGTAAAAATCGACAGGATATAGTGGCACACTCTGTCGAACGTTCTATTGAATTATCCTGCGTTGAGAGTCAACAGTATATTATAGTATGCGTATACCGGCCCCCCTCAGGTGATTTCGATCAGTTTGAGTGTGTAATGGATTATGCTCTTAAAAACTATGTTCCGTAGTAAATCATTAATAGTTTGTGGAGATTTTAATGTGGATTTATTACAAGTAACACAACCCAGTAAACGACTTTTAAATTTATTTTACTCATTTGAACTTAAAAATCTTTTTCATGAACCAACTCGTGTTACTAACTTATCCTCCTCATGTATAGATAATGTATTCTGTCACAGTGATGTATATGATAAATATGTTATAAATCATCTGAGCTCGGATCACTTTGGGCTAAAATTTTCAATAAATGAAAAAGCTAATACAAGCAAACTTAAGATCAAGTGTAGACCAGTCACTACTAATAGAATAAATGCTTTTAGAGATAAAGTGGCACATCATATGTTAAATAAAGATATAGGAGTCAATAACCCTAATGACTCTTATAGATCAATGGTTGACTTCTTATAATGATACTTTTAAATCGCGCACAATTGTTAAGAATTCAAAATTAAAATTTAGTGACTGGGCAACAGTGGGTATATACAAAAGTAGGGATTCATTGTATGAATTATATAGTATGAGGCAGTGGAATCACGATCCTAACTTCCTTAAACGGGTACAAACATTTTCAAAAATATTTAAAAAAGTCTGTATTCAGGCAAAATCTATTTATATAAGAAATAGCATAATAAATTCAAACAATAGAACTAAAGCCACGTGGGACATCATTACCCGTATATCTGGAAGAACCAAGATATTCAGGGAACCTATAAAACTAGTTATAGGTAATACTCCCATAATATCAGATAACGAAATTGCGAGTAGTTTCGAAAGCTATTTTTCAGACATTGCGGTTAATGTCACACGTACATTAAAATCATCTCCCGCAGACGCAATTAATGTTTTAAGAAATAATGTTACACCTTGCCTACACACATTTAAATTTAATCACGTAGATACTTATGATATTATAAAAGTTTTGAATTCTATTAATCTTAAAAATACAGAGGATTTATGGGGTATGTCCATAAAATTAATGAGCACAATAATGCCATATATTGCCCACATTTGGCTTCTATTTTTAACAACTGCATAGATTCTGGAATATTTCCAGATCTTATGAAATTTAGTAAAATAATACCTGTCTACAAAAGTGGTGATAAAAATGATCCAGGCAACTATAGACCTATTTCCACATTGCCATCTCTTAGTAAAGTTTTTGAAAAGCTAATATTAAATCAACTTTTAGTTCATTTTAATGTGAACAAAATCTTTCACGATGAGCAATATGGATTCACTAAAGGCAGATCGACAACAGATGCGGGCGTCGCACTTGTCAAACATATTTATAACGCCTGGGAAAGGTAGAATGAATAGGTGACTTTTATCAAGATGCAATAGGTGTCTTTTGTGACCTTTCAAAAGCCTTCGACTGCGTAGACCATAAAACTCTCCTTCAAAAGCTAGAATATTATGGCATTCGTGGCATCGCCCTCAATCTCATTGCCTCTTACCTTAGTAATAGAATTCAAAAAGTATCTATTAATGATGTTAATTCCGCTGGGTCCCAGATGAAAATGGGAGTCCCACAAGGATCAATCTTGGGCCCATTATTATTTTTAGTATATATTAATGATCTCCCCTTTTATGCCAGTGGGTTGTGTGATGTTGTACTGTTTGCTGACAATACATCGCTTATTTTTAAAGTTGACCGAAACGTATTAAATTATGACGACGTGAATAGTGCACTTTCACATATCCTCCACTGGTTTACTATTAATAATATGGTATTAAATGCCAAAAAAACCAGATGTATTCTTTTTACCCTTCCCAGTATAAGAAGGAAAAGTTTTAGTTTAATTTTAAATACCGTACCCATTAATCCAGTTGAGTCTACTATATTTCTGGGAATTACAGTAGATTCAAAGCTCCAGTGGAGTCCCCATATATCATCTCTTGCGAATAGGCTGAGCTCCGCGGTTTTTGCGATTAGAAGGGTTAGGCAGCTAACAGACATCGACACTGCCAGACTTGTTTACTTTAGTTATTTTCACAGCATCTTGTCTTACGGCATTTTCGGCATATAAATTCAAAGATATAATTCTATATTTATTCTTCAAAAAAGAGCTGTCCGAGCAATCTACAATATCAGAGCCCGGAATTCACTCAGAGATCTTTTCAAAGAGGTTAATATACTCACTGTTGCTTGTCAATACATTTATTGTAATGTTTTGTATATACGTCATAACCTTAATTATTACCTAAAGAATAGTGACAGACATAAAATAAACACTAGAAATAAGGACAAACTTACTACGCCATTGTTTCGTCTACAAAAAGTAAATAAGTCGTTCATGGGGCAAAGTGTGCGCATGTATAATAAAATCCCACAGTCGATATTAAGTCTGCCGCTTGACCAATTTAAATGTAAAATTAAAAATCAACTGATGATTAAAGCATATTATACCATTTCGGAATATCTCGACGACGCCAATGTGTGGAGTTAATACTGTTGATACTCACGTAGGCTAGAATAAGACTATTATACCTGTATATTATATTGTACCCTGATATTTTTGAAAAAAAGCAACTGTTGAGTTTCTTGCCGGTCTCTTCTCAACAGAAATCGCTTTCCGAACCGGTGGTACCTTACGAACCTATACACATAATCTTTGATGTAAAATTTGACGATTCATAAGAGCGCGCAAGCGTCTATTTGAATAAATATATTTTTGATTTTGATTTTGATTTTGAGTAGGCGGCGTGCGATGGCTCGATGTCCTCTAGGAGAGTGTCCCACGTTGTATGTCGGTGTTCCGATACACGATCTTTGACTTCTAGCTGAAGGCGTCGAAGTAGGGTTCGGTTCGTTTCCGATCGGTATCGCTCGAAAGCGCGTTTGGCTGCATTTTTCTGCCTTATTAGCAGTCGCAGGTCGGGCGGAAAGTTAAACCGTCGGTCGCCCGACAGTTTCACCGTCCGTTCCGAGTCTGCGACTACGGAAGTGATGGTGCGTATTCCCGCAACAGCAGAAGCTGTTCCGTAGCACTATCACAGACAAAAGACTTAAAACGAATTACCCAGCGAAATAAATCGCTTATAGTAAAAAAAAATCGTTTAGATTTCATCAATGCAAAACTCTATTAGAATTTCAGGTATTTCACGGATTGCCAATTATTGTGGCAACATTAAATAGACTTAATTTGATAATCAGCGACTGGTTACAAAGTGGTTTATAAACAGTCATTCAAACAATGCCAGTGTGAGCAAAAGATGTTTTAATTATTTGTATATCTTGAGATATCTACTAGTTGTCTTTCGAAATATCATAATTATTTTGTGGTAAAATAAGGGCATTTAGTATACCGGTGAATACTAAACTGCAATGTTTGTAAAACTCGTGGATGATAAGACTATAGTATTGCCAACATTGTTAACCATTTATGCAAATTCAAACGATGCAGATTAGCACTAAAAATAAAAAAAATACACCCAAATTCAAACAGTCGATTTGCACATCGCTAAAACAATCGATGAGCTAAACGCTCCTATCTAAGAGAGAAAGCTTCCAACGAACGAAGAAAATCGTGGGAGTTCTCCTACCAAAGAAAGTAAACACGAATCATTACAATACCACCATTATATCACGTTTCTATTGGCGTACCGTTTTTTGGCACCATTTGTTTAAGAGAACAATTGCAATACCCGGTATAAATAAAATGACAAACATTGTGCATTTTTTATGAATATGTTGGATACATAAACTGATATCCTTTCGGATATAACATGCCTAATAGAAAATAATTTTAGTAAACTGGTAAACCTGTAATATACCTATATTAACCACTTTATAACACAATATCTTGTTATATGAATATGATCAAGAAAACTTGTAGCTATAAAGCTAACTTGTAGCTATAGTTCATAACGTGGGATTTCTAAGTGTTTCTTTGAAACGAATTCTTCACACGGTGCAAAATTAAACTATGATATCGTTAATAAGGGATGTTTTTCTTTTTATTCCATTCGCTATTTGTGTCTCTTAAACTACTAAACAGATTCTAAAAATGCTTTGGCCCAGAAACTACATTATTACTACTCTATTACATTAGCTATATTTCGTATAAATAAACGTAAGGTTTATGTCAAGAATATATTTAATATTAATATAATAAGTTGGAAGACAAACATTACGACTTTTTATACAGTTTTGCAATGTAACATAAAACTGAGGCTTAATATAAAAGAAATTGTGTTTTAAGTACGTAAAAGTAAAATTTACTTCATGCACAAGTATTAAAACAAGGAAAAATATGCTACTAGGCATCCCATCGCTATCCAATACCGAATGTTCTGGCCAATTTCAGTGGTCATAAACGTACAGAACAGCAACATTCCAAGCTATGGCTATTAACGCCCAAATTGGTGTAAAGTTCAACTGCTTCCTAATAGAGCTCATTCGCGCCTCGTCCTCGAAGCTCTACGAGGGGCGCAGCTGTGCGGCGTCATTTATCGCGCATAACCTGACGATCATCTCGAGCATGTACGCAGGGTCCATTCGGACAGGAAACGATGAAAAACTCCCCGCGAGCGCGCGCGTTGACTGCCAATGAGCGGTGACCACCTGCTTTCTGGTCGGCCACGGAGAGACGGGGGGCGACGCGTGCGCCGACAAGAAATGCGCGATTCTTTTCTTCGGATGACTTTTTTTCGCTTTTGGCACTTGTCAACTTGTGTAGCCTCACCGGACGTATGGCGACCGGAAAACATCTCGATGAATGCATTCGATTGCGCACCAGTCGAGTTTCAGGTCTCGCTGGGGCATCGGAGGCGGGGGGCAGGGAGAATTGACCGGATCGCGTGGTCAGAACGCTATCGATTACAATAAAGAGAACACACGCCAACCATTTCCCCAACAATGCCGCTTTTTGTTCAAATGTGTTGCACGCGGTCGCGGCATTTTCCGAGTGCTCGATTTTGGACTATACGAACCCATTTCGTTTCGGTAGTGTTTAAAACGAACCGGATATCATATTTGCGCAAACAGGACTCGAATAATAATGCATGATTTTTTTTTCCATTTTTATGAGAGAAAGTTTTTACCGTTGTAGCAAAACAGCTTACGTAACAGCACCTGCCGGCTCAATCATGGCTTTTGAATGCTTACTAACGCAAAGTATAAGCATTTATATATTTGTGTTTTGTCATCTGAGTGATATAGCGGAGGCCAAACTTCTTGCAGTTTGCCAACGCTCTTAGCATTTTAGTATATTTCGCTAAGCATTCGTAGGAATTCATTCATGAATTTATATAAAATTAATTTAATAGTAAAGTAAAGCCTATATGTGTCCCTGCTGGGCAAAGCCCTCGCCTGTATAGGGCATAGTCCACCACGTGACTCTACCACGGATTGGTTAACAGGTATGTGAATCTTCGAAACATTTTTTTATAGTATCGAAGTCAGGCAGGTTTGTATATGGATAAACGTGGCGTAGAACTGAAATCCCTGTAAATCAAAAACTTTATTTTTGGTTTACATAACATATTAAATACATAATTATAAATAAGGTCGTTAAAAATGCGGCCCTTATCATTGTGGATGGCCGTATCAAGCTCATGGTTTGATGCTCAATAAAGCTTTAATAGACAACGGACTGAAAGTAAAACCACTAGTTAAAGTAAAATATTGTAAGCTTTGAAAAAGACATTACTCTTAGCCTACTAAATGCGGGTTTCAATATTCTATCTACAGATAGATTGGGTTATTGGAGATAGAATTTTATAAGTATTATGGAGCTAAATTCAAAAACCTAGTTACCCGCTAGTAATCATATCTATCTGTAGATAAAGGCCGGCAACGCATTTGTAAGCCCTCTGGTGTTGCAAGTGTTCATGGGCGGCGGTAATCACTTACCATCAGGTGAGCCTCTTGCTCGTTTGCCCCTTTCCTCCATAAAAAAAAGATAAAATAATGAAACCGGCCGTAAATGTATTCGGTGCGGTAATATCGATCAACATAGTATTACGAATAATCTCTACTAATTACTGACAAGTGAAAGTGTCGGTTTATTCCTTTCACGTATGGACGACCAAGGGCTACATATAGTCTCTCTGCATAGGTACAGTTTATGGGCCAGAATCTAACGAAGTCTACCTATTGTTACAAATAATACAAAGCTCTTACGAGATAATAGTCCCCATACGAAACAATAACCGCTCAAAGATAATCAAACCACCAGCATTTTCACATAGCAAGACATCTCAATGACGGTCAGATGGAGTACGGACGCTTCCACACAGTAGCGGTAACATGTTAAACCGCAGCAGATTATCAATCACCCTGTTCCCCCGCGTCCGACAACCGTGTACATGGCGTTATTCCTTTGCATACGCGGACGAACCCGTGCTCGGGGAGATCCGTGGGATAATTTCAGCGAGCGCGTGTGAACGCCGCCCGACAATAGGCGACACACACGATGAACCGAGCTCCGATTTAGAGGAGACATTACGTCGAACAATGCCGGATCGGAGTGGCGCAATCGTACGATAATTGTGCGTTTACCGCGTAGGCGGCATGGGAAAAGCGCCCGCAACGACGGGCGACAGCAATTTGCGTTGCGCGACGCGACCATACAATAAGGCTGCCGTTAGAACCCCCACGGATGACAGGACGAGCGAGCGGTCAAAATTGCACAATTCAGCAATAAACTAATATGAAACTTGTTCCGTGACTAAGGAATAAACATATTGAAAGATACATAGTGAAAGCTTAAGTTTTATGTTGTGAGGGTAAAGTTTTGGGACCGTGTATATTATTGCCTATTTGTAGATGTTCTCATCTTATTTTCCTTAAATTGGGCCGTACGGGACTACGCCATATCCCAAATTTTAACTAGGCATTTGAATTATTTTTCACCCTACCACAGCCCTACCAGTAGGTATGGTGCCGGTGCAATTATCATAGCACCACCCACGAGCCCCCCATTTCACTATTAGGTGGTGGGTTGCGCGCGTAGACAAATCTGCAGAGGCGCGGAAATTTGCCTATGCGCGCTCTCTCCGCGATGGGAGATGTTATTGTTGTGTCAGTAGCGTTTAGGTGTTTGTATGTATATTTGCAAATATATTATTATTATTGACTCAACTTGATGTGCGTATCATCGAATTTGCACGGTATGTTATACTCTTCCTACCTCATATCCTCCGTCCAGAAGAGGTGACTGATGCATTTTTGTTAATTATATAGGCTGTTATTTATGTAAAATTTATAGGCAACGAGTGAAGACCGACCGATTGAAGTCCTCCAGCGGAGGTGATTATTTCTCGAAGAAACAAAAGAAGGCTAAGCTCGTTAAATTGTCGAGTTGTTTAGACGCTGTTACTACTTGACCCAGTTAGAGACTTATGCGGGTCATTTTCCGCTCGCCCTTCCGGAACAGAATATTGATGTTAATCGCCCGTGTTTACATTGGATAACACGCGAGCGGCCTTTATGGCCCATGTGTGACAATATTAATGTGTCTCCTTTAGGAACGCATAAGTACATAAGATGTTAGATACTAACAAAAATGAAATACGAAAATTTTAACGGCGTTCATATCGCGGTTTAGTTATGATTTTAAGACCCCCGTTTCAACCAATTCACAATGGCCACGCGACAGCCAGAGGCATTTTAGTTCATTTTTTTACGGAGATGTTCCCAGTGTTAATAAGATATGAGCTCCCGGCCCCCAGCGATAGACCTGGTTTATGACTCCGCCACCATGTTACACGAAGGGAGGACAGCGCATCTTAATACTAATACATCTCTTATCACGCGACTCCACGTCGGCTGTAGAGGACATGGAGAGTGACTCTGCTTCTACCACCCTCAACCTGTCTTCCACACCCCTTAGCGTGCATCCAAAGCTCGATGTACCCACTTGAAGTAGCCCCCTCTCGAGCCGGCCTTAGACCACAGTCTGGCCTAATGTGGGTTCCTCTTGACTTCACCATAGGTGACCGAGCCACGGTTACTGAGCTCCTCTGCCACAAGGCGAGAACTCTACAACACATGGTTCTTATTGTAGATACATGGTACTTCTCAGGAATGGCCTAACATTCAAACAGTAGATGCTAGCGTGTGGCACTATCCCTCGTGGCAATTCGCGGAAGAAACATCATCACAAACTCTTTTGAGTCAGTAGCATAGGAAAAGCTCGCTTGATTAAGTTATCCCTGTGACATATAAGGTAGCTTATCTATATACATTCTATCAAACAAAGCTACCTCAATCGTATATGTTGTTAAAAATTCCAGCACGACGAAGTCACAGAAACTCATAAGAATAGATAAGAAATAGTTATTATATCGCTTTCAAGTAAATATATGTGTATGTGTTTGTTTTCAACGAGTTGGAAGTTTTAATGTTGCTAATAATTAGCCATTAGATATATATTCTGATAAACTGCACATATTTAAGAAAAAAATATATACACATTTCAAATAATTTTATAATAAGTTAACCTAAGTATTGCTAAGTTCAAATTTATAATTTCTCAATTTTCCTAATTTCGTTTTTTTTTTCTCAGAGATAAAAGATTTTTTTTTTATTAGGTTCCTGTTCTATATTTCAAGTTTGTTTTGTAAGTGTTGTGTTTACCTGTAATTTAAATATGTACATATATTGTTTACGACTTTAGTATTAAGTTAAACATATTTACATTTCAATGTTCTGTATGTATTTAGTTGGTAAGCCTTAATAAATAAATAAATAATAAATATTACGTTAACTTAGAAACATTTTGTTCATACACTAGTTCTATGACTTTACCCGACGGTGCAACACAATGGAGGGTAATATGTTTATAGGCCTGTTTATATAATTACTTACTTCAATTAAATTGTCTTAATATTTACGCGCGACAATAAGCGCGATATTGTGAAAAACTTATAACAGGTTATAGAAACGTGTTCCATTCAAAGACTATATTGGGCTTTATAAAATTTTACCCGTCACGCAGTCGGGTTTTTAATATTTTTTTATACCTAAATACTTTTATCTTTACACGAAATTTTGCAATGTTCGTAATTGTGCAAATCTTACGGTCGGCATTATGCCCCTAACGATCGGTCTTGTCGTAACCAATTACGTTTAATTCGGCAAGATCCTGGCCCGCGTGATGCACGCTACTCCGGGCCCAAAACGGCGGCGCCCGCTTTGATCGCCGCGACTTTCGGCGAGATAACCCGTGACCCGAAATTCCCTCGTTTCAGCGTCACTCCGGACAACGACACGGAATGATGGATGTTTTCATCGCGAATGCGATCGGCAAATAAATTCTTGATTGTAGGCCCCACTCAGAGACTCCAACTAGCCTTTAAGTGGCGTTAAGTTGTTCAATAACAGAGTTGGGTATTTACTACAAGTTGGTCACAAACGTAACTCATCAAAGTAATTGTCCTAAACAGCAGGTTAGGTAATTTAGTATATGAAATGTTGATAAAATATTTTTTAAATTATTATTGATTCATCAATGAGTCATCAGTCGTATATCAAATGCCACATCTTAAAAAGAGCTTTTGTCAGCAGACTATTGATAAAGGAAAGAGAAAATATGTTTAGATATATGCATAGGTTGCAGACTTGTAGTTATAGAATAACTACATTAAAACTTAATTATTAATAACAATTAAATGCAAAATTATTTACCTGCACCTGAATAGAACAAATCCCTAATAAATAGTAATTATCTTCTTAAAAGAGGCATAACTATTATTATTATTTATATATTTCATCTGAAAATAAAAACTTAAAGACGTTATGAATGTCCAGATTGTAGTAACCGTTCTCCATCAGAAGAACTCTCTCATTTCTCAGCTTATTTCATAAAAAAAATACAGAAATTCAATGTTTGTTTCAAATGATTCATGCTATGATGCCAAAGATCGTCTCGTCTACTATTTGTTCGCGCCTATAATGTTAGTATTCTTTCATCGAGGTGCAGGTTATTTTGATCTGGCGGCCGGTCTACGGTTGCTGCGCTGACGCTCCAAGCAACAACAGATTTAAGTTTTTTTTTTTAATTTGATTTGTTTTTGTTTTGATTGATTGAAAATCTAGGTCTTTGAACTAGGTCAGCATCTCGTGTAGTCTTTTTGTTCTATTGATTAGCTTAAAGCAATTTTAATTCAACAATTAGTCGTTTCCAACTAATTCTCTAACCGCTGTAGCACTTGTTGGGACAGTTCTAAGAGCGAAATTATAAGTTAGGTCACCTATTGATTCTTCTAAAAAAAATATATTCTATCTTATCAGCTCCTATACGGCAACGATTTCATTTTAGTTATTCGGAATTCTCTCTCTATCAGTCGTAAATCCAAATGTATTTTTTTATAATCCATAGAAGGTCGCTATTTGAATTGTTTTATACTACTAAATGTGATGAGTTGATATATTTATTTACTATTCATACTAACTGCACGCAAAAACAACAACCATGAAGACCAAAACTATGTATTATATTAAAAAGCACGCATTCCACATACACATCACCTGGGCCTATATACGATTAATCAAAACCAAAATTGCTTGCATATTTGTAAACTGTTTCACGTACCTATTATCAAAAATGAAATTAACATATGCGATCGAATGTAAGAAGCGGTGTGACTTTGAGCGAAGCGCAAAGAGAGCACTTGGAAACAGAAATGCGGCGGCGACGACGCGGATGTCGCCAGAATTAGACGCTCGGCTAACGGGCTAAGGGTGGCGACACATTGGGGAGAAATAGCGATTGCTGCGGATGAGCATTAAAGGGATTTTTTTAACACTACCCGCTCTGTAGGTTCCCGCCATAACAAAAGCAAAAACATTTACTGATTGTGATACAACTTCCGGAAAAGAGGGCAAAGAGCAGACGGGACCTTGTACTTTCCGTAAGACCATGGACCCCGTTCCACAGATTTGGTCTTAGTGGTTGGAGATCCTATAGAATATATGTCTCTGAAAGAAGGGAAATGTAAATTTAAATTCAAGCCAGTATCGACTATAGAGGTGTTTTAAATCTTCTCGATTTACGAATAGAGGCTTTTAAATCTTCGAATCGAGGCTGCAGTGTATCAAGTGCTAAGTCAATGGGGTCATACCGTCAATATGAGATAGGCCTAAGGGATTCGCAACAGTTCGGGCGCCTCCCGCGTTTCGAATTGTCCGCACTAATTTCGTCCGTTTCAGCTGTTTATGGACGGGAAAGCTTTCAGAAACGAGTGCCGACTAAGACAAACACACACTCGTAATAACATATATATCGCGAGCACTTCCTGCGTCTCCCTGTCATGGTCTTTATAAAATCGACTATTAATAAAGTATTTTCGATGTTTCTTTATTTTTAAACCTCTTCCTCGTTATAGTTGGCAGACAAAGGCAATGTGGGCTATTGGATGGGTCATTCCGAAGATATATTTTTGCTTTTATAACCATTTTCTTTTTATAGAGAAAAGCTTGCAGCGAGCGTATATATAATTAAATTAATGAGATAATCAAGCTTTTACAAATAAAACTTTTTCGTGTTTTACAGATTACGATTGTTTGCATGCAAATAGTTAACTGAAATCATTTTAATATATTTCATTTCATTTCAATTGATCGATGTGGCGAACACTAATCAACCATGGTCCGGTCATCCTGGATGCCGTAAACTGCCGGGACTAAAAACTGAAAAAATTGGTAAAATAATTTAAAATAATTTTATTGAAAATTATTAATACTAGACAGACCACCATACCAATACTAAGTGACTACTACAGTGTTATTGTAACAAACCATGATTTTTTTTGGGCTGGATGAGCCACTGTTGGCTTCTGGGGCCTTCACAGATCCGACGGGCTTGAGGTTCGACAACTTCACAACACGGTCATGGGACAATCGTGCGGTATATGACGTTGTTATTTATAATAATAAGCCCGGTGTACTATCAAATTTTTAATATTTTAATTAAATCCTCCGATTCACGAAAAGTTTATTTGCCATTAAAATATGTAGAGAAAGTACGAAAAGTTTGTCGTCGCTCTGGGAATTGAACCCACGTCTTCGGCATTCGCGGCCTGACGCTTTAACCACTAAGCTAAACGGCTAATTGCCATAGCGACGAAAATCTTAACGTTCTTTATCTACATTGTTTTTAGCATTTGAAGTAATGCTATATCCTTTCCAGCATACAAACAATTTTGAATATCGTTTTACAACGATAATTCGAACGAGAGATGTCGCCATTGCTTTTTATAAATTTAAATTATTTATAGTGCTAATCTTTGCACTTAAGATTTAACATTATATTATGTAGAAAAAGTACGAAAAGATTATCGCCGCTCTGAGAATCGAACCCACGTCTTCGGCATTCGTGGCCTGACGCTTTAACCACTAAGCTAAACGGCTAATTGCCATAGCGACGAAAATCTTAACGTTCTTTATGTACATTTTTTTTAGCATTTGAAGTAATGCTACAAACAATTTTGAATATCGTTTTACAACGATAATTCGAACGAGAGATGTCGCCATTGCTTTTTATAAATTTAAATTATTTATAGTGCTAATCTTTGCACTTAAGATTTAACATTAAAATATGTAGAAAAAGTACGAAAAGATTATCGCCGCTCTGAGAATCGAACCACGTCTTTGGCATTCCCAGAGCGGCGACAATCTTTTCGTAATTTTTCTACATATTTTAATGTTAAATCTTAAGTGCAAAGATTAGCACTATCATATTATCTTTTAAACGAGCAATTCTTGTATATATATATATATATATAATCGGAATCTCTGAAACGGCTCCAGCGATTTTCATGAAATTTAGTATTTGCATAGGTTCGGGGGCGAAAAATCGATCTGGCTAGGTTTCATTTTTAGAAAATGTTTTTATCCCAGTTTTTAGGGAACGAAAAATATCATTCGAAAATGACGGTAAATTTCACCGAAAAAAAAAATGATATAATAGCTCGGTCGGTAATCGGGCGGCCCCGAAACAGAAGGCCGTGGTTCGTGTCACGATCATTTACACACTTTTATTCGATTCCAGATCATTGCTTTCTTTATTTTTTTTTTCTCGATCCAGATGATTTTGTTCTTTTTTTCCCTTTTTTCTTAAAGTTCTTTCTTTTGTGAAAAACACCAGTTCATATTTTCTTATTATTACGTCGATAAGATCGAAAAATATTATACACATTTCATTACTCAATATTTGTATCTAAATGTAATTTCCAAAATACATTATTTACCAAAAAAGAAACCGAGCAAAGCTCGATCCTTCAGGTACTAAACAATTTAAAGTTAATTTGACTAAAAAACTAAATAAATAAAGACACAGATAAACACGCATTTCGAATAAAAGTTATAGATATATTTTAAAAGTATGGTACCATAGAAGATCGAACACGGTTGTGTTACTAATATAGAATGCAGTATGGTACCACCACTCTATAAATATCTCTATACAATTAACAGAACTTGGAATAGCACTCAGCTGTACCATTCTATTGCGAGACTATTATTGCGCACGGTTTCGTATGAAAAAACAAATAATATTATCGTATTACGTCATAAATCGTGTCATTGAAATATGTATAGCAAGAAATAATTAAAACTTGTGAAGTAATTAGGTAAATTGAATTTTGTACAAGACACTACGTTAAAAAAGGTTTCGTGAAAGTTTAGTGTGTAAAAAAGTAAATTAAATGTCTCACTGCTGGGCAAAGGCCTCCTCTATGCAGACGGTATCAGGGCATAGTCCACCACGCGGCCTCACTGCGGATTGGCGGACTTCACATATCTTCGAAATATTTTTTTAATTTGTTATTATATCGAAAATACGAGCACGTGATAATTGAACACTTAAAATTGACAATTTCATTGGTGCTAGCAGTGGGATTTGAACGCGGGTTGCTCGAATATAGTGAATTAAAAGCGAGCACACACTGAACCGTGACAGCTTAGTGTTCGGGCTCTCGCCTTGCATATTCTCGAAATAATAACGAAAAAAAATTCCTTATGTATGTATGTGAAGTCCGCCAATTCGCAGTGGAGCCGCGTGGTGGACTATATACAGATTACGAACATAGGAAACCTTTGCCCAACTGTGGGACAAATAGAGACTGTTACTTTACTTTTTTTTTTTGTTTTACGACTTCATTGCACAACATGTAAAGAAACACACAAAGAAAAAATTTAATGTGTAAATATATAGTGCGATTTAAATAAGTATAGAATTGACCTGGCGCCATCTTGTGACGTCAAAGTTGTCAACC